CAGGCGGCTGACACGATGAGAACCCCCACCTCAGTATACAACCACACCCCCCGGGTCCACAGCAAACACTTAACCAGGATTTTAAATAACAACAAACATCGGGGACGGCACGGATCTCAGTTGGCGTGACGTGAGCCTGCAACTGTGCCTGCCAACACACGCCCCAAACGTTTGAATTTTTTATGGATGCGCATTCCCGATTACGCCTACCAGACGCCGATCTAAACTCCCCTCTCCCCCCCTTGTGATGATCCAGCGCGTTTACCGCGTGGCCCGTTTTAGGGGTAAAATGAAGTATACCAGATACAGTAGATGTGCTAACTCATGAAATGTCAACCAAAATTTCGAAATGCGTTCTCCTTTCGAAAAGATAAATTAAGTAGTGTTGTAAAACTAATCATGATGCTGCATAAATCTATAATGATCCAGTTACCTCAAGGTGTCGGCTTTCGAAAGAATTTCCCTCCAGCTGCAGGCATGATCGATACTCTGCAAAAAATGACTACTTAAGTAGCATGCAATTTTCTCACTGATTTTCGATGCCCTGGAAAATTCAATTATATTTCATAGAAAACATGCATAAAAATATTCATTCTTTTACTTATTCGGTAAAAAATTACGTCTTCTTTCAATTTCATACTCAACAGAAGAGTATAATTCGGCTTTAAAAAGTTTCTTATTGTGAGATTTTTTAATACCGTTAAATGGTCGTTCATGAAACTTCATGTATCTGCATTTACGAATGTGGCTTGTAAAGTTAACAATATTGCTCAAATCCACTGCTTAATTTTATGAACCTCATATAGTCTCCTCTTAACACCGTAGAGAAATGCGTGGTTTTCCGTACACGGAAAATAAACAGTTTGTAGTTTTGAAACCCTGAATGCAAGTGTAACAGCAGGTCGGGTTCAAAATTATTCGAGAATTAGAAAAGTTTTTTAAAACCGAATTATACTCTTCTTTTGAGTATGCAATTGGAAGAAGACGTGATTTTCTACCGAATAATTTCAAGAATGAATATTTTTACGCATGTTTTCCATGAAATAAAATTGAATTTCCAAGGGTATCGAAAATCAATGAGAAAAATGAATGCTACTCAAGTAGTCATTTTTTGAAGAGTATAGATCTTGCATGCAGCCGAAAATAAGTTCTTTCGAAAACCCACACCCTGAGGTAACTGGATCATTATAGACCATTTATGCTGCATCATGATCAGTTTTACAATAGTACTTAATTTATCTTTTCGAAACGAGAACGCATTTCGAAATTTTGGCTGACATTTCATGAGTTAGCCCACCAACTGTATGCTGACATCTGCGTTGCATATGCGTATACGGACCTCATAGGCAATGCTTGCGTCGAAATAACCGGTTTCGTTTATTGTATCAAAGTTCACAGGAAAGTAGTCCTCCTCAAATTCAGCCGCGGCAAAATGAAACAGGCAAACCGGAGAATTTAATCTTATTAACGGCCTCTTAACCTGAACCCAGTATCTAACACTCCGACAGTTACTTCTCAACCAGGATCTCCATTTAACTTTTGAGTTCTTGTCAGAGAACCCTTTCGCTGTCCTGGTGCCAGTATTTGCACTGATATCGTCGTTTATTGGTCTAATCAAGGAAATGCCAGCATTTCTTTCTGTCACTGCGTTGACAGTTTTGCTAATGAAACGGCAACTGTGCCACCGATTTCAGCTGACGCTTGCTGACCTTCATAATTCCGTACTTCTGTCCTTCGCGACTTTCTATGAACCACAGAGACAACAGTAGAGTAAGCGACCCAACTTAACTGTCGGTAGACTGAGTGCGAATGGAGTTGCACGCCGGACAGTAAGCTGACGAAATGTAATAAAACACAGAAATTGTTTGAATTGCTGCCGAAAGTCGTATCGTACGGTTTCGTATGAAAACCGAAATGAGCGCGTCAGATAGAAAATGAAAAGAAAATTTCGAAGAACAACGGAGTCTGAGGTTAAGGGAAGTTGTTGTTGTTTTCAGGATAACGCTTGCAAGCGGATGCCACGATAAAACCCCGTATGATATTATCCACAGTCTGCCGACAGTTGAGAGGAGTCCTTCACCCTACCGCTGGCCCGAAAAATTCCTACTGAATATTTCTACTGGCTAAACGGCGTCCAGGTATGATTAAAAAGGATTACCTCAAACGACAGAATATACTGACTGAGCAGGCGCCAACTACCACAGAAATGCATATGGTAAAAAGGCATTTTTCGAGTCTATTAACGAAAATTCCTTTAAAAAGTTTTCCATGGGTACAACAAAGGCAGCCCTCCGTACTCCATCATTCTTCCCGCTTCCGGGATGCTTAAGAATTTCAGAAACCTCCTTTGACGAAAATGGTAAAATTCACTTTCCGTATCAAACGTAATCTGACGGGTCAACGGACATGTATTTTGGCGCGCTTGCTGCCTTTTCGGGTGGCCAGAGGGCCGTCTGTGATCCGGGCAGAGGAGGCTGAATGATACCGTGAAGAGATATATCGTGCCAAAAGCGTGATGGTATGAAGCCTAAACACAGGCGAACAATCTTCTGCTTCATATCCGGCGCCGAAATATGACAACAGGTTCGCATCCTATTGGCTGCCAGGTAGTAGTTATTTATACCAATGAGACTGTTGGAGAAGAGACGGGCAAGAAAATCCACTGCCTGTTTGTACACCTCCGCACTCTCCAAGCTGGAACCACCACCGGCCAGACGAAAAGCCAGTTCTTTCTGGCACCAACGCTGAAACCGTTCCATGATGAAGGCATAGGTGGCATTCTGTGCGACTAGCGAACCTACCAAACTGGCTTTTAGCTCTTTGGCAACAAAATCATAGGTGACAGGGTTGCAAACGCCTACTATAGGAGTGACAGGGAAATCCTCCTGCGAAAGCAGTCCACACAACTCTTCGGAAGCCAAAAGTGGCGGGTACTCCAGCCGCAGAAGGAAGAGCTGTAGAAGGATGCAGAGTTGCGTGGGTGAAGCCTCATCCAGCTCGCGCCCAATAAAGGCCGCATGGAAATCGCCTCCGTGGATGAGGGCGCTCAATAGGACCTCACTCTCATTTAGGAGGTCCGCGGTGTAGCCATTAAAGAGATTAGGCAGTGGAGGAACGAACTTATCCATTCTTTCCAGGAGGAGGACAATGAGGTCAGGCACTTGAAGAAACCCGGGTGTCTGCATGCTTGCATAGGTGACTGACTTTGGAAACTGGGTAAAGGGTTCAAGAAAGCCAGGATCTCCTTGAATGGTGGGAAAGTTTGGTACATGATGGGGATCGCTGCCCTTGCCAGAGGGCTTGCAAGTGACGGGTTCGACGCGTAGGCGCGGCATCTCGCCGTGCGGACGGTGTCACGCGACCAAGAAAAAACTGGACTAATCAATAAACCGCACGTGATTTTAAGCGGGCGTCAGAAAGTCAGGTGCGGAGGCTTTTTGAGGGGGCGGACAACAGGTTCGGGCATGTTCGACTTAACAAGACGGAATCGACTGAAATGCACGGCCTGACTCATGCCACCCGAAAATATGCAACCAAAAAACCAACTCATGGGAACGCGTTAATGGCACGCCTGTCAACTCGGTTGTCTGTGACCTTATGACGCTAAATGTTGCTTTTGTAGACATAAACCGGATTTTTGCGACTAACAACCTAAAAGTCGGCCCTAACTGCCGTAAAAAAGCGTCCGAAAGTGCAACTGCGCGAGATGGCTTTTGATGGACAGTAAAAAGTGAACACTGGTAAAGAAAAAAATTACCAATGGGTGACAATTCGGGAAAATTAAAGTTGCAACACAAATAATGACCGGGGACACATCTAGTTACGCTTTCGTGTGTAAATTTAACCTCAGGTTGGGCGACTTATGTTCGCGACATCAGTCGCTCCTACGGGCTTCCAAAGAGTTCCTCTGCGGGGGGGGAGGGGACGTGGATGGCGGAGTCGGGTTTGCGACCGGAAAGGGTGAACATGGCGCCGTGCTGGTAGTAGTCTCCCTGCTCCCGCTCTCCCCGGACTGGAGCCTAATTAAACCGAAAGCTGGATGTGCCCTCGGCTATTACCTGTTTACACAGGTGCTAATGCTCCCATCGGTGACTGGTGTTAGCACCCCGGCTTCCAACATCCTTGTCCCTCGCGGTATGGGGGTAAGGAAAGACAGGCACAGTGTAGGAGGCAGGCGTTGACTGATTTATGTCCGATTCCTGTGCTCGGCTGCTAGTGTTCAAGGCTAAAGCCGACAAAAGCAGCAGGAACTAAAACAGCCGCTGTTTCGGGTCTATTCAATGCCCCAGTTCAGCCAGTTACGCCACAAACCAATGGCTGCGTTTGGACACCAAAATGGTGCGTGCATAAGCCCAATTCCTCTGTGGTTCAAGATGTCCACGCCCTGTAAAGCAAAAGTTTGCGCAGCCTGATGGTGATCTCGCAGGCAAGCAGGTCTTTTTGGAAACTGGTATTGGGTAGAAGAGGCACTCTGGTCGGCAAAGAATCATACTTCAGACATTTCTCAAGGCACCGAAATTAAATACCCGCGGACTTCATGCCAGACAGATCAGTCTTTTTGCTATATAGTGTACTACTTTATCAGTTTGTGAATGTCTCCGAACAGCACTTTGAAACCATTAGCAGAGAATAGGCGTATCAGGCACTCTGCAAAACTTAAATGTCTTTAGAAACACGGCTGCTGTTCCCAAATACCCGAGTCAAACGGGGGAACGTGTAATTGCCCACAATGATTGATGGTTCCTCGAGCAAATAAGAGTGATATCGACTTCATGCACAAGCAACGAGAGCCCGCCCTTGTCCTAAGAGCGTGGTGATGACTGGGATGTGGACTTTGTGGTAAATCGGGCTTGCGATGCATCTACCTCACTCCCCCTTCCCATGTGCAGGAAGGCGATACTGAGTCAAGACAGCTGGAGATGGGTGGGGACGCAATGACCGAGCGACGTTGAGTGTGGAGATATTGGGCCCCACATGACTCAGGGCTCCATAAAATCCACATTGACGAAGGGTCACTGTTGTCGGAGGTATCCGGTCAGTTGGCAACCTTACAAACCACTACTATTGGCGAGTCGGGATAGTCCACCAGCGCATTTTTGTTGAAAACGAGAAATTTGAGCGGCAAATTCGAACCGAAACTACCTCTCCCCCTCTTCCTTTTCGCACAAGGGCAGTAAGTCTCGACCCGGTTTACTGGGAATTAAATTTAGTATAATGGTTGACCGGGCGTGAAGTCTATGTACACCGCGGCCAAAAACGATGCGTCGCCCCTTCTTCCCGCAGCTGGCCAAATCTGCCGTGGCAGCGGGTCTTTTGGCCTCATGACTTGGCAGGAAACGTCTGGAGTCGTTTACCGGATCTGGTGTAGTTGCGGACAAAGCAAATATGTCGGAGAAACTGGGAGATTACTCCGTACGCGAATTGCCGAGCACGCAGCAGCAGTGATGCGGGGAGATGCTAACTCTCAGGTGGCGGCACACTCGACGGCACCCGGCCATATTTTCAAGTTGCAAGAGGCCGAAATCCTCGTAAGGGGTGACAACCGCGTGAGCCGCGAGCTGCTCGAGTCATAGTTCTCAGGCCCGCAATCCATCAACAAGCACAATGACCTCCCGGTGCCATATTCCGTGCTGAGGTTTTCCCTGGGCAGGGGAATCAGTCACGCGGGGAGGGCGCGGGCGAGCAATTATCACTGTGACAGTGAGCCAATTTGCTGAGCAATCGTCACACGAATGACGAAATCACGGCCATTAAAGACTCGGACTCGGACCAACAAGCCACCACCGCCTCGATTACGACCCCAGCGGTGATTGCGAGAACTGTTAATTGCAGTGCGCATACGGTCCCACGGCAGCCACGTGCTATAAATACTGCACGCCTTGTGCCACCATCACCTTTATCTGCGAATGTCTCTGATGATGGATTCGAGTGAGAATCCGAAACGTCAGGCCAATACATTTCTTGTTCCAAGTGATCGCATCTTCGTCTTCTGAACTGCTACCTGGAACTCGCCTGTTCGCTTCTATCAGCAATCATAACTTGTTATTAATCCGTCTGTTATAAGTCTCGTCAGCATATATGGCTAGATGTAAGGTCATAGAATTCCAAATGTTCCGTTGCACCAGGTCCAGAATAAAGCAGGCTGATTGACCAGACTGACTTGGTGTCATCAAGGGTTACGTGGCCCATTTTATCCAACTTTGTTCTTAGAGAAACCAAGCTCTCCTTTACCCTATTGGCTGTCTAATCAGCTAGGTCTTAACAGTCAATTCCACTTTACGCACGAGTTTAATGGTATGTGCCCGGAAAACGTCTATGCCGAAGTAAAGGGTGTAAGGTGATAGCAGTGCGCTAAGAGGTATGGGGTTGGGAGCGGTCCACAGACACGGGAAGTGTGGTTTTTGGTTCTTGTGCCCCTAAAGCAGGCCGCGCAGTAGATGCGCTGGACTAACACGGGGGCCATATTGAATTCTGTCTGGCGTTGTCGGACTGCGCACCATAACAAATGCCAACACTTCGGGGTGAGGTAGCAGCCCCAGCCGCCGGCTGACATCGCGCACATTGGGATCCCTACCACCCTCCCCCTCCATTTTTTGTTGTCAAAATCGTAGCCAATCCTTGTGTGGACCAGGGGGTGCGGAGTGGAGGCCAAGATGCGGGCTCGGCCGCGCCGTTCACCTACACCCTCATCCCCTCCTGTCTTTTTGACTCTGTCTTGACACCGGGTCCAGGTGGGGGAGAAGGAGAAAGTGCGGGAGATGTAGTGCAAGTCTACATTAACTACAAACTTTTCCACGCACAAGTCACTGCGTTTGCTGAACCTTGCTGTGGAGCACACGGTAGACATCGTCAACAGCAACGGTCAAACTGTCAGTTCTTGGTGCAGGGTTCGACAACGCACAGGAATATGAACGCCCCTATTCCAGGGGCCTTGGGTTACATTTTCAGGAAGATTCGGATTAGGGCTAGGGTTAGGTTTAAGTTTAGGATTATGTCTGGGTTTGGAGTTTGAATTAGGGCATGGTAATATTAACCTTTTCGAAAATCTTGGACAAGGCCACCTATGTTTTACCCGGGGATCCTTTTTAGAATGGCACACATCTTCTGATGGCAATAACGACAAAGACAAGGGAGACTGGAATGGCCATTTCTGGCTTATTAGCCGTCGTCAGTCAGTCATACCCAACCCCGAAATGTGGAACCCCTGGGGCACTAACTGGCGACCTGTTAGTTAGAAGTCCACGCCTCTAACCACTGGGCCACGAGCCCGTTGCCCCTGTCGGTTTTTGATCGGAACTATACAATGGTAGGTGGGACGCTCACCGATCGTTCTTACAGAACTCACTCGTTCCGTTGTGCTTACGGACTCTCTCTTGAGCCCAAGCAGCAGCAGCACAGCGGCACATGATATAGGCAGAATGGCCACTGTGCGCCGCTGTGCGGCAGCTGGTTGGGTTCGAGAGTGAGAGCCCGTAAGGCACAACGGAACGAGTGAGTTCCGCAAGAACGATCGGTGAGCGCCCCCTACCATCACATCTTCTGATGTCGGACCCAGGAGTTTCCGGACTTTCAAACATTACTGATTGCCGACACTGTTCATCCTTTACTTATGTGTCGTTGTTAACTGAGGAAGGACCACTTATCGGAAGCACCAATTGTATTGACAAAGCTTGGGACTCATGAAATTGTTAAGGAATTTGTGCTATCTGTAGGCGCGTAGGACGCGTGGGTCCATATCTGAAAGGGGGATTTCTCCAGCGAGGCTACAAGGAGTGGCAGAGCGCAGGGGTTCGGTGGTATACCTGGGCGTCAGCCACTGCGTCTAATCACAGCGCCAGAAGACTGAGCTACTCAAACGGTACATGGCAGAGAGAGAAGGGAGAGTGAGTCCGATCGTGGGGAGTCCACCCCCATGCCAAATCAACGTATTTATTCTTATACCAAATCTGATGCGCCAATAGTCATGACCCGGAAGGTTGTCAAGTGACGGGACGACTCGGCCCTTTGTCCCATGACTGCCGATCAGAGTGCAATGGCACTCTCGTGAAAGCTTGACGCACGTTGTAGAGGCTCGTTCGTGTGTGGCACGCTTAGACGGGCTTTTTAACTTTTTCAACTGTTGCACTCCCACCTACACCAACCTCCCATCCCCTTGACATTTAAGTGGGTCGGGGAAAACAGAGTGTAGCGGATGCTACGCAAGTCCTCCCCACTACAAAGTCATTAACCGGTCCTGAACCCACTCCGTGTGGCACTCAGAGGACGCCGTTGCTCACGTTGATCGAACAACCAGGTAAGTAGGGCGCAGCGCAGCCGGTCCGTGGGGGCTGTTATA